TTTATTTTGAGGTTCTCTTTTGTGAAAAAATAATCATTGTAAATCCGTGTTTTGCTTCCCTCTAACCCCTATTTACAATACTGTTGTCTTAGCATAGATTCGTTTAGGAGCGTGACTTTTTCTGTTGTCGAATCATTCGCTTCGTTACAGTAAAACACGAATTCAACTGTCATGATTTATTTTTTCATGTATTTCGGTGAAGCCGCTTTTTGTAGTCATGGCGACATTTCAATGGTGACCCCTGGATGAATCCACATCTGCTCGTAAATTGTCATGATCAGGGTCATTTGTATGTTAGGGAATTAGTGTTTGGAACAACTGGCTGATATAATTGTCAACTATGAAGTGTTGTTTTAGCCCTCGTGGCACCGATAAGTATGAGAGTTATGTCCCAACATCCGGGGCATTTAATTTGACATTATGGCGTGTTGAGTACTTTGTGTGATTGGCTATTGGCTGTATGGGGCCACGCCTCTAGCTCTTAAATTACCCTGTAATTGGTTGACTGTTGGAAAAGTAAATAAAGTGGTCTCTGCACGAGAGAGTCAGTCGGGGTGCGGCCGAAGAGCGACACGGCTGAGACCAAGTGTAACACATTTCGATTTTCTGCGTGTCTTTGTTCGATAGAAAAGTGGAGAATTCCCTGAACTTGGTACCTCTGAAGTTAAGGTTTAATAGCACCCGAATTAATAGTTCACACAACTACGAGATGTTACCAACCTCAATACACACCCACCATATTGAATGCAATGTGGACAAACATATACGTCATAGATACGTTACCAATAACTACATGTAATAATATGGTAAATAAATAATATGTTTTCGGAAAGCTCAGATATAGGGAAATATGACTTTGTACTTATATGAGTACTCATCACGAGGGGACTTCTGAACATATAGTACAAGAAATACTGTTATTTTAGAATATGTGAGGTAGTGTTAGTAAAATATCCTTCGCATAGTTTTGACCTAGATTTTTTTCCACGATGACGCTGTTATGTATTTTTTGTTTAGCTCTCCTCGTCAAATGTATTGTTTTTTTTTAAAATGCTTTTTTTCCTGTATGATTCGATTTTTTTTCATTCCATCGATTGGGGCATCCTGCCAATGTCACTTGCATGTGTAATAATAGTGCGCGAATATTTGACGTCAATTTTGTACATTTCCTCCAATTCATTTAAATTAATTCTTTCTTTTATTTCATTAAAATGTCTTCACGAAACCGTCTAACCACTCAGTTATACTGACGTCATGCACCGATATAACACACTTCATCATTTGCATATATCTACTTTAACAACATCAAGATACCAGTGGTTGGTTGGGATTATATATATATATATATTGCTGCACACATTTGCTAGACGAAAGCAACAAAACATTTACCATTATTCAGACAAATAATTCCTAAGCAATGCTATTTGGTTTTAAGGCAAGGATTATAAAGACTGTGTTGTGGGTCTCTTTTCAGAATGACACAATTTAAAAGGGGAAAACCACTCCCGGGGTTAAGGGTTATCGAGGGATCAGCTAGCTGAAGCAATGTTTCACTAAGCACTGACCTCAATGTCGAACTATAACAACCTACCTACCTAATTTAAGTTGAACTCGTGCCAATATCAGGCTGCATGTGACCAGCTGACAATAGCTCCTGCACGTTTTGCAGTCTCACCTGAACTAAATATGTATTTAGAGTTCTATTTTGTTGCCATTGTAGTATCCAGTGTGATCTTATTTTAACATAACTACATAACACGATGTACAAAGTGATTCGGTACAACATTTCCCTATGGAAACAAGTACACAATAAAAGCTCAAACTTGTACATCTTTGCGTATGAACATTCATAAGCTATCTCCTGCAAGCACCTTACTTCCAAACCATACTAGAATTATATCTATTGAACTGACACGCCGGTGAATCTTGTTTAGATTCTATTTTGACTGTACCTCTTATTGCATCTGGGAAAACAGGCTGGTCTGTAGTGTGTAGTTTCGTATCCTTTGAAATCTCCTAATATTAGTTATATTAACATTCATTTCATATCGCTGTCAAATGTTCTTACAGGCGCCCATATGTTGTGAGGTTCGTGCAATTTCAGAAATATTTGTTGAGACAATCAGAAATATACAGTATCTTGTTTGTAAACATTGCATAATGTAAATATGTTAGGCTTGTAATGCTGGATGTGTTTCATTGAGAGAAAAAGGGTGTGAGTTGAATAATTAACTCATCGTCTCTGTTATGGTAATATCTCATAGTTGATACTCCCACAAGTAAATGTTTAGATATCAAAGATTGCAGATGTGCCGCTATCTTATCGATTATCAATTCCAAAATATTTACATAAATTTATATACATATATATGTATGTAATTTAGACCAGTTGGAATATTTTGTGGTTTATTACATAAATGTGTTCCAACTGCGAATAAGGATTACGTCATCATATCACATTACATACTGCGTCATCTAATTAAGTATGGTCTCTCAGTCAAACTGTAAACAGTATACTATACAACCTAGTTTTCAAAAAAGCGACGATAATTGGCTTTTCCCAACATTTTCGGAAACGTATTTGGTAACTCAAACTATACGTTTGTACCACACATCATACAAATATTTTGTGTTTGTTTGCAGTAATAGCTCATTGGTAATCTCCATGTTATAAGCAAGTGTGTAGAAAGACGTCATGGCGAACCAAAATATGTAAGTTGTTCAATATAATTACCCATTCATAAGTGTTCTCAGTGCCGTCTTTGCCCAACAACAAATTATTTGTTTTTTGGAAAAAGGTATCAGTTTGCAAGCTCCACTGTCAATTGAAGAACGGGACTGTTCATTTAAAGCGGAAGGGTCATCACCTGCGCACGCGCGGGAGTCCCAAGCGACGATAACAACGCATACCAAAAAGGATCATGGATAGCCGCTTGTTTGTATACGCAGATGACGACTCCCCCTTTTTTTTAATAATAATATTTATTGCATCTTTAGAAATACAGTATTTCTATCAGTACAGTAGCAATAAAAGTATAACAAAGTATAAAAATAATAATGAAATAATAAAGAAAGAGAAGATATTTTTTTGTATTTAAAACATTTTTTATTGAGTCAATTTACATTTTTTATTGAGTCAAAATTACATTGCACAACGAACAAGTACAAATTCCCCACAAAAATATTACAATTTTTGCAGGTAGTCATGTTGATATGCTAGGCCGTTGCTACAATTTTCATAAATGTTCCCCATTTTTTAAAATGTTTTTCCAATTTACCTTTTCTGTTTGCAATCAAGTACTTAGTTTTCTGTACCTTCTGCACAAAGACTTTAAATCTCTCAATTTTTTTTTTTTTACACCCTGACATCTGCAAATATAAATAAATCTTCTGGCAATCAAAAGAAAAAAGTTTAACAGGAGGGGGAGAAGACTACCACCAAACAAAAAGCATTCTGGGTCGTTTACCCAAGGGATTCCACCACGTTAAGTGATTCGCCGTCATCGTCCGTCGTTCGTCAACAATTCTATTTTCAACTTCTTCAACGATTCCTTTGATGTAAATATAATACGTTGGGTTGCCCTATATCAAATTTGTTCATTTCGTGATAATACCATTAGATATAAATTAGCAAATATTTGGGGAAATTGACATTTTTGACTTCTTGAAAAATCTAATTGCTTCGATAATTGGTATAAGTGTACATGGATGAACCATGATTTTATTAGTTTCGTTTTTGATATAATTCATTGACATATCCTTCAAATGGAGTTGATGGAACCACTACTTGGGTACAGTTCAATTATCGTTAAGATAAACATATGTATTGACACACATATAATAGAATGTAAGCAAAGCCAAGATCATTTGTTCCCCCACGATTTGTTAATGTAACTATGCATGCCCTTATTGCAAGGCTCTGCTGAAACAGTGGAACTATTTCGACCATCAGATCGCTTGTCGATTCAAGGAAGTACAATCACTACAAATTTTGCAGTTTATACTTTCAAAGAACAATCAGTATTGTAAGAGCAAATGTTAATTTCTTGTTGTTTGCTTTTTCAGTGCTAGACCGGTACATGCTTTGTTCATCAAAAATAGCAGTTTCTTGAGCTTCTCGAGTCAAAGTTAGGGCAGCTTAATTCAAACTTAGCAGGCATTCCCTGATTATGAGTTTTGTTAAAAATACATTCATTCAATTAAAGTTAATTCATTAATTTGCCGATATTTACTATATGGGGCAACCATCTTGAATAAGTCGTACTCAAGATGGCTGCCACATATAGTAAAAAAATGTTAGATTAATCTCATTTACTTGATTATCACTTGTACGACAGCTGACTGTGGGGGCCGTGCAGCCATCACAAAGACAATCATTCTTTTAAAAAAAATTATATTATTCTCTTTCTTGGTAAACAGTGTACCATGTCCCGCTACGATGAACTTCATGAGAAGGGCTGGGATCTCACACGACCGTGCCTATGAATATTGCATGGTTCTTAGGCAGAATGAAATCCCGTATCTACTGCTCAGTGATTTACCGGAGGAGTATCTGTTAAATGAAGTCAATATGGCTTACGGCGATATGATAAGGATGATACAAGCCATCGACATGGCCAATGCCTGGAAGGAATTGTTCATTCAGATCGGAATTTCTGAATTTCAGTCGACGCTGTATGGGCTGAAATTTTCATCAGAACAAATCACGCGGAGTGTGTTGCACAATATGAAAGAAAAGCACCTAACGCATTTGGGTGTGAATAGTGTTGGTGATAAGCAGAAAATGCTGAAAGCGGCTAAGGTCAGTTTCACCATGCCAACAAGTTATTGCTTTTGAAATAAGAGAAAGACTGTAACAAATGATAATAGTTTAGTCCATAGGTAGTTGATACTGCTAGTAACTCAGAGCAGACTTAACATAATATAATTAAATGTTTATGTTTTGAAGTTTTAATGGCAATTCAGTTGATATGACCTAATTAAGCCAGGTTCTTCTTTTCTAGTATTTAACGACGAATTGATATTCAAAATTCTAATACGAGAAATCTTAATAGAGTTTACAAAACTATAACCATGATAAATGATTATAACTCGCATTGGTGTTATGAGAATAGAGTTAAATGTTGACACTAATCTTCGTTGTCATGGTAACTCCTACTTTGCCTTGTATTCCACAGTCAGTTTAGTGGAACCGATCGTTATTTATTACTTATTTATTACTCCCGCTCTGTATACTTCAGCAGATCCCATACAGCATTTAACTGAAAAACCACAACTAATTTTCAGATTTAAGGCTAATACTAATAAGTAAAGTCTGAATTACCAATTAAATTCACAAACATTGTTACTGCGTTTTCGCTATACTACAGGGTAATCAAGAAAGGAATGCTATAGTTGGGAGCCACTGGTTGAGGGTCACTGCTGTCAATATTTAAAGTCGTTTACACGTCATTGTGTTTGATATGCTGGAACACACAAGTACTTTGATCAACGTTTGGAGGCGGGTTAGAAAAACCACTAGACATTGTGAATGCAATTCAAACATGTTATTTTGTCACATAGCACACAATTTTTCTTCTGAATAACGTCTGAACCAAATTTATGAAACATCAACACTTTTTTTACTCGCATTACTCAAATATTCATAGCTTGACAAATGTACTGACTCTAAAGTCAAAAGATTTTAGAACCTAAAAGCAAAATAAATCGGTTTTCGACTAAAAACCCCAATCTCTTTCAAGTGACTAACCTTTTTTTCATGAAGCAACAATCGCTTCTGGGCGCAGGATCATTGGTAGTTGGATTTGACCCCTAAACTGCAATTATAACAAGAAAAAAGAAAAAGAAAAACTTATAGTTGTCACTATTGACACAAACTCGTCCAATGCTATAAATAAGAGTTCAATAATGTAAAAACGTTCAGAATGCCTCGACATGCATTTAGTCTATGCAAGTAAGTTCAGCATTAAATCGCAATTATTTCCAATCAACATTTGAATCACTGCAATTCGTTCTGCTGCAGTCTTCTCTAGTAGTCACAATTCGCATAGCTCAAAGTCAGAGACAACTCTTGGTGCAAGACTCACTTTGTGTTTAGACCAGCCTATAGGAGAACAGTTCTGTCACCTTGGTCCATTCCATACTTCTACGTCACTTGGTGAACCTCGTCGCTTTACTATTGTCCCGGGTCTTGTTAACTGTAAAATATATAACTTTCACTGGTTTTGTTGTGTTGGGTCAAGCCCTCAACATATGTTAGACTTGGCAGGATGGCTTGCAAATTTGCGAAAAACTTGGTCTACATGACGATTTGCTAATCTGGTGTGTACATCCTTCATTTCTCGAGTATTTATATGATATCATTTTAAAAATCTAGTCTAGTATGATAATGGAATCGTGATCAAAATTGAATAGAAATGCGCTGTCATGTCTAAATTGGACGAAAACCAACCAAAGTTTTTTTTCCAAAATTTGCAAGTCATCTTACTATACGAGTAATTAGCAGAACCGCTGTGACCCGATAATGCCAACAATTCAACAATTTGTTATCGTTTTTACATGGTTATGCTATTTACTATATTTTGTTATTTGATTAATGGGAGAGAAGTTTTTCGGTGATGACGATAATCTTCAAGGTAATGGAAACCCATTGCGCTGTAGCTTTCTTTTGGTCTTCTACAGTTGGGGTCGACAGAAAACCGTCAAAACGTATACTACTGTTTTACGGCCAACCCCACTACTTAGCTAAACCAGCCACAAGTGTAATCAAGTAGTCTGTTCACATCTGTGTCTTAGTTGACGTGCATCGAACTTTCTAGATTCCCCAATCGAGAATTCATTACATCATTTCTGAATGTAAGTTCGGGATTTCTGATGCCTCTATGCATAACATCTTTTTCTGAATATAAACTCAGTAGTTTTACTACCACTCTGAATAGTCTCGTAATTGACAACGGTTCGTGCATCTAATAGCCTAATTAACCTTTAACGTGACACGTGAAGAATCCGGTATCCCAACATCTAGATTAGTCACTAATTTACAATTTACTAGCTTAGCAATAATTTCTGATGACAAAATTTGCACAAAGGATACTGATGTATCAACTTATAGGTTTACTTTAGACACTTGTGGCCTATGAATTGAATGCATGATACACGAATCGCATAGTAATCAAAATCAGCCTTTTTTTGTTTGCGCCTGTTGCCCTAGACCGTAAATACCGGCCAATCTGCCTAGCAGTCTGAAACCTCGCTACATCGCAACACTGCGCCAATCTCTGCATTCCTAGATGATGTGTCCACCACAATATATTTTCAGTATCATTGATTGATTATGAATCTCTAGGAAACACAAACACAAACACAACACAAACTAATTTGTCCAATTCTTGATCATTACGTGTAGATGTATCTGCTCATGGTGCCCTGTGAATGTGGCATCAAAGTCAGCGATAATCAACGAGTACTTCGCGAGTACCAAGACATGCTGGATGACAACGACCGCAGACTATTGCAGTATGTTAGTACTACAATAGTTGAGGAAGGAATTACGGTAATTGATTTCATTTGCTCCATCGATTACACTTTATAATGGTGAGTCTTGAACTTTGACTTTTATTCTCGAGTCAAAATATATAATTATAGAATGGCGGACGTCGCGCGATAGGGTTCCATAATAACAAAGATGGCAACATTATGTCCAAAATAGAGGCACTGCTATGATTAATCGATATTCTTTCTGGGGGAGAATTCTAAAGGGTAAAAGTCTAGATTTCGTGCACATGTGGTCAGATCAAAACTCGCATTTGGAAGAGCGCATTGTATTGTGAGAACATCAATGTTCATGAAGCCAGAATCTCGCACATGCGTAGCGCACATCCGTCGACCTTTATGCCCCTGCACTCTCGTTAAACAAATAATTACATTACACAGCCTGCCCAATCTTCGTGAATGGCATTACGTATACTTAAAGAACACCAATCCGAAATATACTCGTAAACTGCTAATTCAGAATGTTTTACGTAACGGGGTACATTGCAAAATAGCAAAAATGTTTTTGCATTATATATTTTAACTAATGTGTTTCCTTGTATACAGACAATCTTATTCAATACAAAATTATAACTTTACATTCTGTTATTAGTATACAAATAATAATAATAATCTAATACAACACGCTTAGTAAGAATGGCATTACTATACGATTGGCTAATGTAACAAATTAAAGAGTGTAGCCAATTTTGTGTTTCGCCTTTTCCCGTACTGCCTGCTGAAGTACTTCGCATTGACAGAATCATAACATTTGAGATGGGAATCATCGGAATTAGAGAAATATTGTTATTTTTATCTGGCTTTTATTTTTGCTGACATGAGGAAAAGCCAGCCTTTATGAGAATTGTATGACTTTGCATGATTCTTAAAACACTTTTATTTCTTAATTTGTTTACAACAGCAACAATAGTAGACTAACAAATGAGCAATGTTTTAACCACTAGCTATGAAAAAATAGCTCAAATATTCTTCCATATGAGCAGCAACTAAGCATGAGACATGCGCATGCGCATTACGAGTTTGTACAAAAATTATTGGGTGGGCAATTAAACAAACGATATTATTTTGAATTTCATTTATTTATTTATTTATTTATTTAAAAAAAATAAAGTACATGTAAAATCTAACATTTTTAAAATGGCCATGCTTGATTCTAGTAAAAAATTTCAAAAGAATGCTAAGAGCGCCATTCCTTTTGAGGGCACCCAGTTCTGAATTCTGTACCAAGCCTCAAAAACAATAGTCACATGCATGATATTGTTCAGAGCCATGTAAGTTTGAATATTATCTTCCTCAGGTGATGTCAAATGCCGAGATACACGTGTATGGTGGCGCTATGCACGTTATATATGTGGCAGGAAATGGTGGGAATCTGTTTGAAGTGCAATTGTACGACGGTGTTCCGAATCATTCGTGTACAAGAAGATACGAAGATACAACGCGTTTCGGCTTCATCTGGTATTGGTTGTTGTGTCGGTGCCGCTTGTGGCTTGGTAGCTGGCGCTGTCCTCGGCTTCATAACGTTAGGCCCTGCTGGAGCCATTGCCGGAGCAGGTATTGGGAGTGCAGGCGGAGCATTCGTTGTTCGCACTATTGTCGCTGGCGTTGGTCGTCGTGTCACGCAGGCGATTACAGAGTCGCCATCAGCAAAAATTTCTGGCTTCCTCACGTAAAATGTCAGGGAGACATGATCTGACTGCTTAATACAATCTGTTAGAAAAAAAAATTACAGTCCAAACTTAAAGCTTGTTTTAATCGGATTGAACAATATAGAGTATATTGTTTGCTTAAAGCGGGGAGTCGTCACCTGCGCATGCGTCAGATGGCCATAGGTATCATTGTTTACAAACAAGCGTCTATCCATGAGCCTTTGAGTTTTTAGCGTGTTTTGTTATCGTCGCTTGAGACTCAATTCCCGCGCGTGCGCAGGTGACGATCCTCCCGCTTTAAATTGAAGAATGAGTGGTAACACTCTTTGTAGATAGAAAGATAACAGGAATCGCATTTGTATTCTCGATTTCCGTGGAAGAGCACAATAGAGTCCGACCAAGGACTGGGAATATTTTTATGGATTTGATTTGAAAAAAAAACACTGCCATACGTTCGTGGCTATGACGGCCACGTGAATTTCTGATATTTTCTGGAATATAACATTTTGGTGTAATTTTAATTGATGAATTGACGGTAAGTAATGGACATCCTATTTTCATCTTGTGACGTCTCATTTTATTGTATAGGGAGCCTTATCGGTCTTTCATATGATAACAGATCAAAGATATACGCAAGCTACGATGTTATTAGTCAGTTCTGTTCTCATGCCCCTGTGAGAAATCTGACATCTACTTCATTACTATTGCCGGGCTCGTGGCGACCGACTCGATATGCAAATGACTAATAATAACCCCTTAGCGCTTCAATAATATGAAAGGTCTTAAATTGAAAATAGAGTGGGTCGGCAAGGGGTAAGCTGTAATCAATTGTTTTGATTTTCGCAATAATGTTATTTAAATAAATAAATGTAAATTCATAGATATGGGCAAGGTTTAAAATGTAATCAGCTATTTTATTCAGCCGTAATTTGTACAAAGATATTTTTTGTAAGCGTATAGACATTTCCCAAAATAAATGTCGTAATTCGTATGCAATTTCCAATTTTCGATTCTTAAACACAAATTATCGAATATATTATAAAAATGTAATTTGGAATTTATTTTATCTGTAAAGTGTAAAAACCTATTTTTTTTAAACTGTGAATGGAACTTTCATTTTATCTCCTGTAAAAAACATAAAAATGCCTTTTTTATTTCCTGTAACCTGCACCAGCTAAAGTAGGATTTTGATTTTCGTCGTTCATTTCGAAATCCTATTTTTGAAAACTAAATGTCGCCACCACAGACATAACTTCGGGAATCAAAGCCACACTTAGGGCGGCAGTCGTCGTGCCGCGTCCTGTTCGATATGGGACTCATAGCGACGTATACAACGCGTGTAAAATACATTGTTTATTTACATGAAATTCGAACACGCGCTGCGCGACGACCACCGTGCTTTAAAGTGTGATTGCTTACCGTCAATTCATCAATTGTAATTACACCAAACACCATAAGACTACAATCCAGAAAATTACCTGGCCGTTATTAGCCACGTACCTAAATTACTTGCAGAGAATCGTCAAATTCTCGTTTATTTCATAGCCCCAGTCAGCAATATATAAATTTACTGTGTCAGAATATTCGTGGTTTGTGACTAACATTCTAACACTGGGCACGGTAACTTAACGCCCCCATGCGGCCTTGAACTGTCTTTCATAAAATGTCATATCCCTCATGTGGCAAAAAATAAACTTCTTTTGTGTTTTTTTCAATAAAATTCAACAGAAGCACGAATGAAAGTGTTATCATTATACGTTATCATGCATAATACTGACGTATGAGTGGAATAATGAAATTGGTAAATTCTCTTTAGTGAACTATCATTCATTGGAGGTGTGATGTTCGTGAACTGAATAAAGGTCACACATAGCACTGGACGACGTGACGTTTTGTTCTTGTATCTAGTATCACGACATATTATCATACCCATACTTTGTCATCACTCGGTACTCCAAAATATTAAGTATTAGGCACTTTTTAAAATAAATGTATTCACTTATCATTGATTAAATTGTTTGAAACGTGTTTTAATACGGTGATAAACAAAAGGAATAAATAAAATTTCATCGTTAGACGGTGCTTGTGGTAAAAGTTTAAATCACGCCCTCTAGTGACAAAGCGATTCCGTGACGTCAAAATGACGTATAGATGAAGGCACACATCGTTCACATCGACAGTTGTATTTGGTTTGTGTGGTCGTTCATCATCCAGAATATATTAAAATCATTCAAACATATTTTTTATTGATGATGACTACAGATCAAAACGAGTTCGACGCCTCGAGTGGCTTTTGTGTCAACCATTTACGTCACAAAAGAGCGCTTTGTCACTAGAGGG